TTTTAGCACTTCCACCAGCCAGTGTGGCAGTAAATTGTAAAGAGAGAAAGAGATGGATTAATTAGGCTTTGAAGAACTTTATAGCCTGGTCACCATATTGCAGCTTAGCAAATATTGACCCAGATGATGGATGGCAGCAGTGCGTCTCCTTGTTGGGGCGTCCCCACCGCCGAGAGCTGAGATAAGATCCCATTGTAGTGAGAGGCCTTCCAGTCTTGAGCGGAATTCCCTTCGTTGGTTGGAAAATTGTGTGCAGTGCAGAATGAAATGCTCAATTGTGTCCTCCACATTACATACTGAACAGTTACTTGAATTGGCCAAGTTGAATCTTGCCAAATGAGAGTAGACACCAGCATGTCCCAGGCGCAGGCGTGACACAGCACACTCAACTGAGCGTGGCAGCACTCCGTAATCAACAAAGGCTATTTCAGGTCCCAAACTTCTTCGAAAGGTCCCCTTGCCTGTTTCTAGCACGTCAGCTGCCCATTGGCGTGTCCATTCTTGTACCGTGAGAGACTTCATGNTAGTGTCTTCCTATGGTAGCCTAATAAAATTTTTTGTGTTGGGTCCATTTTAATAAATATTTACCATTTTACTTTCCTTGTGCTTGTAGCATGGCGACTTTAGTCTTACTCTTAGACTTGTGGAGTTGACCAATTTGCACCCTAGTCTCCAATTTGCACCCTAGGTACCGACGGTAGTCGGTACCTAGGCAGAGGCTAGGCTAACCTAGCTCAGGCTAGCTGCTTGCACCCTGGCGAAAAGCCGCAAGTTCGCAACCAGGCGCTGAGGCGCACTACCGTCTACCGGTAGGCCTAGGCCGCCTAGGGACCACAAAAAATTAAAGAAGCACAAAAAATTTAAAAAGGGGGGATTCAATATATTTGAGAAAAGGAAACTTTAACAGATGGAATCATAATGACAGAAATTTATAGCAAAACGCTTACTATGTAGTTCTAGCAATTTGCAAAAACGAAAAAGGTAGTCCATTGTTTAGAATTTAGATACGCACGTCCATACTCCATGGACCATAGTCAACCGCAGCTCAAACCGAAATCGCCTACGCGCTTGAATCCGAAATCGGCAAAATAAGCTCGTGTTGGTAAAACTATTTAATTTACAAATAGTGAGATATTACTTTAGAAATTGAACCTTCGAATGCAAAATACCAAAAGAGATTTTGAATGTTAGAGAGCGCAAATCGTACACGTGCTTTCGCAATGAACGCAACTGACTTTCTCCGTCCATTGTTTAGATACGCACGTGAGTTAGTGGCATAGTCAACCGCAGCTCAAACCGAAATCGCCTACGCGCTTGAATCCGAAATCGGCAAAATAAGCACTGAGCCGCACAACGCAGCATGACAAACATGAACGCATTATGGACGAGAATGACAATGAATGTAATCTAATCATTGCAATGCCGTAGCAAATCTGCTTCATCAATGTGCGTCGGTCGATAACACTTACCAAATTAATTCAAGTACGTCTTATAAACTTATCAGTCCAGTCAACCAACCGCGTTTCGGACAAAACTACGGCCGGACTTGCTTGCGGCCGGCGTCCAAATTCAGTGTACCTGGAATATCTCTCAAAGAACTGAACGTAGATCGATGAAACTTGGTACACATATTCATTATGGCCTTACGGGGATGTCAAGCTCGTGACAATTTTTCAACATCGACTTCATTCGTGAGTTATATGACGAAATGTGTCGAAATTTGCAGTGTACCGGCCATTTATTCTAGAGTACTGAACAGATCTTAATGAAATTTTCCCTCATTCGTGATTTAAACAGCAAAATACTGCTTAAATTCGCAGTGTACCAGAAATTTCTTCTAAAATACTGAACAGTCACGAACGAAACTTAGCATAAAGAAACCTAACCTCCCAACGGTGATGTTTAGCTCGTGACAATTTTTTTCGATTTTGCCTTCGTTTGCGAGTTATACGGATATACAGAGAAACGACCGGCATTTCTCAGGCCGATTTTTGACTTGCATTGACTAAGAGCCGAATACGTAAAGCCGTATAACTCGCAAACGAAGGCAAAATAAAAAAAATTACTAACCAACGAAATTTCTCCCAAAGTAATGAACGTATCTCGATGAAACTTGGTACACGTATTCATTAGAACCTAACGGTGATGTTTTAGCTCGTGAAAATTTTTGAAATTTCACCTTCATTTGAGAGTTATATGGCGATACGTGCCGGAATTTGCAGTGAGCATGACATTTCTTCAAAACCATGCTTCAAAACTACTGTACAGATTTGAACGAAACTTTGAATATAGAACCTATAGAACCTTTGAATTCGAACCTAACCTCCCAACGGTGATGTTTAGATCGTGGCAATTTCTAGATTTTGCATTTGTTTGCGCGTTTTTTCATTTTTCTCTCATTCGTGATTTAAACTGCAAAACGTACTTAAATTCGCAGTGAGCATAGAATTTCACTTAAAATACTGAACAGATTTGAACGAAACTTCGTATGTGAATAACTAACCTTCCAACAATGATGTTAGCTCGTGACAATTTTTTTCGATTTTGTCTTCGTTTGCAAGTTATACGGAGACACGACAACGTCTCGGACAAATTTACGGCCGGACTCGCGGCCGTCAGTGTACCTGGAAAATCTTCCAAAGTACTGAACGTATCTCGATGAAACTTGGTACACATATTCATTATGGCCTAACGGTGATGTCAAGCTCATGACAATTTTTTTAATATCGCCTTCATTCGTGAGTTATACGACGAAACGTGCCGAAATTTTCAGTGTACCGGCCATTTCTTCCAGAGTACTGAACAGATCTGAATTAAACCTAGAATATGAATTTCTGAATACTAAACGGTGATGTTTAGCTCGTGAAATTTTTTTACGTATTGCCTTCGTTGGCGAGTATTTTTCTTTTTTCCCTCATTCGTGATTTAAATTTCAAACAGCAAAATGATGCTTAAATTCGCAGTGTACCAGAGATTTCTTATAAAATACTGTACAGATTCGAACGAAACTCTGCATATAGAAACCTCACCTCCCAACGGGCAACGGTGATGTTTAGCTCGAGACTATTTTTTTTATTTTGCCTTCGTTTGCGAGTTATACGGCATTACGTATATGGTGGCTCTTGGTTAATGCAAGTTCAAAAATCGACCTGAGAAATGCCGGTCGTTTCTCCGTATAACTCGCAAACGAAGGCAAAATCGAAAAAAATGTCAAGAGCTAAACATCACCGTTGTGAGGCTAGGTTTCTATATGCAAAGTTTCGTTCGAATCTGTTCGGTATTTTAGAAGAAATCTCTGATACACTGCGAATTTAAGCAGTATTTTGCTGTTTAAATCACGAATGAGGGAAAAGAGAAAAATAGTCGCCAACGATGGCAAAACGTAAAAAATTATCACGAGCTAAACATCACCGTTTAGTATTCAGAAATTCATATTCAAAATTTCTTTCAGATCTGTTCAGTACTCTGGAAGAAGTAGTACCTGGCAGGGTGGCCCAGTGGTTACAGTTCTGGAGTACCGAGACTAGCGCAGAGAGATACGGGTTCGATCCCCGCTCTGTGCGCCAGTTTCTGGTCAATATCGGCAAGGAGGCCGGGCGGTTAAAGCAAAGCAAAATTGAATCAGTGAGTAGCGCGTTCGAGACCGCAACAAGCTGTGAATATTATGCTATGTTAAGAATCGGCGACAGGCCTACGGCCTAATAAACGCTGAAACCGCGATTATTATTATTATAAATGGCCGCTACACTGCAAATTTCGGCACGTTTCATCATATAACTCACGAGTGAAGGCAATATTAAAAAAATTGTCACGAGCTTGACATCACCGTTAGGCCACAATCAATATGTGTACCAAGTTTCATCGAGATACGTTCAGTACTTTGGAAGATATTCCAGGTACACTGACGGCCGGGAGTCCGGCCGTAAATTTGTCCAAAACGTAGAAACGACCAGCATGTCTCAGGCCGATTATTTTTAAACTTGAATTGACCATGAGGCGTATACGTAAAGCCGTATAACTCGCAAACGAAGACAAAATAAAAAAAAATGTCATGAACTAAACATCAACGTTGGGAAGTTAGGAATTCATGTCAGTGAGTTGCGCGTTCGAGACCGCAACAAGCTGTGAATATTCTGCTTTGTTAGGAATCGGCGACAGGCCTACGGCCTAATAAACGCTGAAACCGCGATTATTATTATAAATGGCCGCTACACTGCAAATTTCGGCACGTTTCATCATATAACTCACGATTGAAGGCAATATTAAAAAATTTGTCACGAGCTTGACATCACCGTTAGGCCACAATCAATATGTCCAAAACGTAGAAACGACCAGCATGTCTCAGGCCGATTATTTTTAAACTTGAATTTACCATGAGCCGTATACGTGAGGCCGTATAACTCGCAAATGAAGACAAAATAAAAAAAAATTTCATGAACTAAACATCAACGTTGGGAAGTTAGGAATTCATGTACGAAGTTTCGTTCAAATCTGCTCAGTATTTTATGAGAAATTCTATGCTCACTGCGAATTTAAGCACGTATTGCCGTTTAAATCACGTATGAGGTAAAAGTGGAAAAAATCTCGCAAATGAAGGCAAAATCTAAAAAATTGTCACGGGTAAACATCACCGTTATGAGGTTAGGTTTCTATGTTCAGAGTTTCGTTCAAATGTAAAGTGGTTTAGAAGAAATGTCATGCTCACTGCAAATTTCGGCTCGTATCGTCATATAACTCACGAATTAAGGTGAAATAAAAAAAAAAATTACGAGCTAAACATCACCGTTTGGTCCTAATGAATACGTCTACCAAGTTTCATCGAGCTACGTTCATTACCTTGGGAGTTCAAGAAAATGTCAACTATTCGAACAGAATCTTCGAAGTATTTTCCAATAAAATCTTGAATACATTATTTCATCATTTTCAACGGATCCTGTTTATCACAGGCACAAAGCAGCTGCTTTGAATAAGCACGTGCATAAGTAAATCAAACAAAACCATGAACGTCAATGTTTACTTAATAGTATCGTAAATAAAACTTTTCAGCAGGTATATAAGCGACGGTAGGAAAACAAATGAATCGTAATCTAATACTGGCACCAGAATATCGGTCAGACGTCAGCTCTCAAAGACGCTATTTCTTCTACGTTTTACAGGTTTAGCGCTTGCCGCTGTGAGCAATAGCGTCATCTGTTCACTGTGTTTTAATGCATCTTCAAAATGCATTTCAGTTAAATACGAATGCTCACCCAATTTGAACGTTTCAATCAAGTTCTGGCACACAGAAATATTTTTTGAAATACTGGCAAGAATGTCGAGTTCCTCAGAAGAGAGACGTCTCTTATCGGCTGCTTGGTAACTCGAGTCATTTTCTGTAGCATCATTGCTAAAATATTCCTGTGCCTCAGTCAGGTTTTGGTCGGCAGAATATTGAACATTGGAGGCAAGCATATTCGTTACTTCACTTGACTCACTCACAATATTTTCTACGTGAGAAATTTTCCTCGAATTTGATACACATTGCTGACGGAACAGGAAAAAAGGCATGCACTGAGAGCCGCATATTGCACCACCGGAGTGAGATAGTGCGGACATAGATGGCGTTTTTAAAGGCACAGCATGCGGTTCCCGCATCAAAAACTTCTGTAATCTTTGCTTAACCGCCGGCGAGCAACGCTGTAAGATGGCAGCAACGATCTGAAAAGCAAAATAATAACATTAACATCAACAATGAATTGAAAGGATCGCATTCTTTCACGATACTGCATTAGTAATTTTAGGGAGTTGGAAATTTAATTTCAGGTAGAGGACTAATACAATTGGTTGAGGTATATATCGCAACACATCGGGATGCTGTAATTTTTACAGCAATAACCCATTGGTCTGATAAACTGCACGTGATATTCTGCACACTACCGTTTCGGTTCTCTGAGATGCGACCTAATAAGAAGCTCACTCCCTTACTTGACACGTGGTATAAGTTTGCTCATCCATAAAAAACCATTGGTCTGATAAACCACACGTGATATTCCTAACAATACGGTATCGGTTCAAAGAAATGCGACCGAAACAAGAAGTTTGGTGCCCCCTGGACACGCGTGAGTCTGCTCCTAAATACAAACACGTAAAGAAGAAACACAAGCACAGCTGGTCACCTCCTTGTGTGGCGTGCGGTGGGCGAAGAACACGAAGGCCTCCATCGCTCGCTGACACAGCCAGGCATGTTGATTTTCCGAGACAAGCAAACAACACAATTCTGCTCAGGATATGAGCACCTAATTAATCAAAACCAGGCTTATACTTAAAATTTATTACAGAGAGTGCTAAACTTGAGTGAAGCTCGAAAAAAATAAATGTACAGGAATAGAATGAGTGTAAACTCCATGCGCCAAGGTATCTTGGTTGCAGTAAACATATTACAAGAGCTTACGCAACGCAGAAAATCACTTTAAGAATTTTGATCCCTGATTATTATTAAAGTAACAATTGACAACAATATTTGTAGCAGAAATATTCACCTGCGAGGTTATCAGCGATGTAGCCAAGAGGCTGCTTGAAAGTTCGCACAGACAAGCTTTTCCACACTTCGATGACAGCCTCCCCCACTAAAGTCTTCTCAGAGACGCTCATACAGGAGAGCTTTCTTGTGGCATCAAGGCACACACGCAACAACTGCGTAATCAACAAATGAATCGCTCAGTGAGAAATCTGAACATATGAATTTATTTCATAAAGGACAAATAGGAATACGAGTTCAAGTCTGAAATTCTGTAAGATATTTAAATGGAGAAAGATAAGTACCAACAGTGTCTCAAATTAGGAAAACTTATCAATCCATGTAATTTCTTTCAACAATTATTTAAGAATTTTTAAAAATATACCACATGAATCGTCATTCAATGAAAATAAAGACATCGTTGAAAATGTATAGAAGTATGGAGAGTTCAGATAGGTATAGCTTTAAATAATTTCAATAATGTGGAAGCAAAGAAAAACGAGAATTAAAACATTTTTCGCTATTGCCTGCAATACGACTACTTGATCAACTTCTCTCTAGTGATTGTAACTCTCGTTACCTGACTTTAAGAGACGAATAGCACCAACAATGATTAATGTGTTTCTATACACGCGGTTAAATCGGTCAGTAAAAAAATAGGTATACTTGCGCGACTTGAAGGTCGTCCATAAGATCAGTGACGCGAGAAGTGACCATCGCCAGACGCATCACGAGCCATATGCCTCCGCTGCATCCCAGACACTTAACCGAGATCCTACGGATAGACAAAAATATAACTCAGTACTCACTGCAGTGAGTGACGGAGAGCGCATTTGTGGCAAATTATAAATATAAAAATATAACTCAGTACTCACTGCAGTGAGTGACAGAGAGCGCATTTTATCGTCGACGAAAACGTGAAGTCACGGACGGACGGACAGACGGACGGACATGGCGAGTACAATAGTGCATTTTTTCATAAATGAGAAAATGAGCTAAAAGGATAACAGCTGTCATTAAGACTAGAGAAATTAGGCAAACTTTCACATAAATCTGAAATAAATAGTTAACATCAATGTTAAACTATCCTTCTTCACTGATGCCTATGCCGACTTCGTCTCTTCCGGGCTGAACAGGATAAGTCGAGCATTGATAGGAACTTGAACTACGCCTCACTGATATTTGCGGAGCAATACATTCCGGTTCAGCAGTTATGGAGGTGCGTTTATTAATGCACAGTGCTCAATACTTTTTAAATGCTTCGTCACTCAGTGATTGTGGCATTGATGCCTTAAAAACTTTGAGGGAAAAGTTCAACTAAGTCGTGAATGTCAGCATTAGGTATTGATATAAGATAGGATCAAATTCGCGCTCGTTTACTGGATTCCCGACCCTCTAAAACTTGATCTTGCTACAATTAAATTCACTTCCGTTCTATTTCCATGAAGATGTACCAATCAGTGTACTCATCCTTTCCATACTATTATTAACCTCATTTAATTGCCAAATAATCATACGTTGTTATTTGTACAGTTGTGACAACGCTCTCCTGTTGAGTGTTAAATAGTGACTTAGAACTCAGGACGCGTTAGACCGTCGTTACCATAAGTTTCCGGGTGCGAAGATTATGGCCAATGTCTCTGCTCTGGTGCATGAATAACGAGGAAATCCTTTTCAATTATATAAATATGATAGTTCAATACAGTATCGTCGTTTCAGTAGGTTATACGCATAAAGGCCTTTCACCTGTCCCAAAATTGCGCTAATGAAGCCACCAGAGAACCCAGGCAGACATCAGAGGCACCAGGAGTTCGCCACCTCAACAAGGCAAACAGACACTGCAGATGATCTTCCTGTGCAAAACACGGATCATAAACTTATAAAAAATTGTTTTTTCAAAGTTCTTCATCAAAAGAAATGAAATCAAAGCGAAATTCCTGTGGCTTCAATATCTTAGAATTCAATTCAATGATAAATGCTATTTTAAATCGAAATTATAAATATAAATTCACAAACGTCGGGTTAAATTCAGATTTGAATTGAAAATATTGGCCCGCTGAGAGCTGCATGGATTATTGAAAACAGGGGCTTGGTTAGAAAGGAAAATTAGTGCGTCGGTTCTGATGACGCATGCACTAGCACCAGCGGCATAAGTCTCATTTTGAAGAATGAATTGAGTATAAGTAGCAAGATGTTTATTTCACTCGCACACTCATCGCCGCCCCATGCGACCTCTCACCAGCTGTCGCAAGCGCGTCGCGCTGACCGCCGCTTCAGTACCACAGGTGACTGCACGCGCCAGGGCATCCGAGGCGGCGTCACAGACGTCCTTTAGGCACGCGGTGCTCATACGCAGCTCGTCGGGGCCGTGGCGGTCCTTGGTGGCACTGAAGAGAAGCGTGCCACTGAGGTGACATTGCAGCACTGCAGGAAGGCTAGTCCAGCTAGCCGTAACTGTCAATAGTATACAATTTTACTGCAAAACTTCCTTCTGCAATGACGAATATTCAGCTGTCACTGAGAAGCAAAAAAAGAAAGTATTAATTGATGAAGTTTACAATCAAGCTAACAAGCTTATTGTTACTCCTTAATTAAACTTTACTTGAGCTTATATTTACTCTTTAAGGAGTACCAATAAGAGGAGTAATTGAAAAAGTTATCAATTGATTAGTCACCGTAAACTAAAAGCAGTGAAAGGTTGAGTGTATCTCCTGCAATGACATTCAACTTTAACTTAATTATTTATGAAGTTGACGAGTTATCACTGAACCACACGTCAAGAGCTGATATGGTGAGATGAAACCTTAACACATTCTACGAGATCGTCGGCATTTTGCCAGGTATTCCAATTTGGTTCTGGAATTTAAATTTGGTTCTGGAATTTAAATCGAATAAAATCTAAATTAAAATTGACTTTTATGATAAAAAAGGAAAAGACAAATTGTAATGAGACTGTTGAGGATATCAGAAAAGTTCAATTCTGTACTGTGAAATTTTCGGAAAGAGTCGGCCACGCAGCTGACATAAAAACTTGAAAAATTCCAGTGTCACGGATAATGTGAATTTAAACACTTATTTTCTTAACGGGTGTATGTTGGTTGTGGCTACTGAAGTATCTACTAACACACATCTGTCATCTTTAACAGTTGAAACAGGTTTAAACTTTGCACCGTCCGGCATCCTAAGTTTGGTAATGTAGTGGTACAGCATTTAATTTTGCTCGGAAAAATGCCACAAAAATATTTGCACATGGCAAAATTATCAGGCAGATCTGCCAGCTTGAACCAGTTATTGACAATTATGGTATGCTGTAAAAGTAGAACTTTGCAGTATCCGGCGCCATTGGCGTTGATAATAATTATACCTCAAAATGCACCGTGTATCATTAATGATACAAAATAGATTTTAGCCTAAAAGGTTATTGTAATTAGGCTATTCGTCTACAGCTAATCCAGAGCTCTGGTGGTGCAGTGGTGAGAGACTGTCTCTCGCACCCAGCTCCAGGGTTCGAGCCCCACTGAGGACTTCTTCCGGGAAGCTCAGCTCATGGTCAACTCAGCCATTCATCCAACTCTGGTTGATAAATGAGTACCTGGCTTGTCCAGGGTGTTGTGTAATACAATAAAATGGTTCTGGCGGGTCAGCGAGCCAGTGATGGTCGTAGAACTACCAGTGGCACCAAGTGCACAGAAAAACTGACCTATCACCCCCCTTCCCTAGTCACCACTACCAGGATGGGCAATTACAACAGCTAATCCTTGCATCGAGTACAATAAATATCAAATCAAACGAGGACGAAAAGTTAATGTTACATCGGTGACTTATACCGCGGCAAACATAAACGCCAGTGAGCGAAAAGGCGTGGTCTCTACATACTGTAAATGCGCTCATTTAAGGGTTAAATTTTTTCTTTTAAATTAAAAGATAACTAGCAAGATTTGGGCCAGCCGGCATCATTTACTTTTTGTAGTAAAGGATTTAAATCAAAGAGACAACTAATGAGAAGCACGCGCTCACCAGGTGCAGATTGAGGCAAGCATTTCTGCAGACGCAGCAGCAGTAGAGCGAGTGATGGCTGGAGGTCAGCGTGGGCGTGGGCGGCAGCGCGGCACATAAAGACATACAAGTCAGAGCACAGCTCGCCACTGCCAACCCTGCAACACAGGTGACATCTGAGATCAGGACCCTCTGGATAAAATTTAAAGAGGAGTGGGGACATAAAAAATCTTAATGCCGCGTCAACCATAATTTTTCATGTGACATACATACAACTTAGGGGAATTTAAGGTCTATGTTAGAAGACTCAGCAGCCCAGTGCCAGGCAACAGACGACTGTAGTTGTATAGCTCATCTTTGCCTTAATGCATTGCTTATGAGCAACAGATGCTTAGCGCAAATAGCAGTACATGTAAAAAAATAATTATATAACAATCGGATGCAGCAAAGCATCCTGCTAAGTGCTGAGTCACTGAAAAAAATGAAGTAATAGTTGAGTCTCCTGTTCACTCATTGCCAAACAATGCAGCCACAGCAAAGTCTCATGTTCATTAATTGCCAAAGAATTCTATTAAGCCCATTCAACATGATCATACAAAATATTCTATACCATAGATATTTGTTTTAAGATATTAATTGCAATAATGAAGATTGAGCGGTAGAAATTTTCTATTTAAATAAAGGAGCATTACTTGAGAGAAGCTCCTTCTATACAGTCGAGGCACCCGCGAGACTGTCTCATATGTGAACATTCATCAGGATTTTAATTCAGATTCACAACATTAAAATCCTCGTGAAACTAGTCAACATTTTCAAATAGATCAACTACACTGTTCCAATAAACGTGCTACCGTATCTAAAATCATGAGAATAAATAATAATTTGTTGTAATAATTCGTGTTTGATAAACTCGTGTCAAAAATTGCACAAACCTGGCGACAAAAGTGATGAGATCTGCTGCGAGAGCGCTACTCCACCAGCAATTCACGGAGCCCCTGCCAGTTAGCTCAGCAAGTTTGGAATATGGAACGCGGAGTTCAGGGTCAACTTCTGGCCAATCCGCGCCCATAGACTGCAATGAAATGGGTAATTTAAGCGTGTAACATATAGCATTTGCGATGTATGGAAAGATAAGTCATCAATGCGCCACATAAAATCTACATACAATAATGCAAACACGGCGAATCTGTCATTTTAGAAAATAAACAATTCTTGGCCAACAAGTTGGAAATTATGCGATATTAGCTACAGATACATACATTTGATATGAAAATCGATGAATGTTTCATATGATTTGATATTGGATCTTATGATGAGCACGAGATTCCTCCGTCCATGCTGGTTTGTAACATTCAAGTCACAATTTCATGCCAAAAATCAAAACAGGACCTCAAGAGACCGAATGCGTTTAAAAATCGCTGCCTATTGCGCATTATTACAATAAATTGCTCATATTTTTTCCTTTTTTATGAGATTACCTGCTTAAGTAAAGCAGAGAAAAGCATTCGCTGCGCCGTTGGCCAGGCCGCATCAGTGACTGCGGTGACGACGACGCTGGCCGCGACGAGCGTCGCCTCGTACAGAGGCAACACGTCCGCCGCAGCGCCGTCGCGACGCTCCAGACGCACCGCCAGTGATGAGTGGAGCACACCGCTGCCTGCAAGCGACCAACACAGCATTAGAATACTAACGGGGGTTGAGAGTTGAACATGCCGTTGCCTGCAGGTGCCCATAAATGACGTTAGATTACATACAGGGGTTGAGAGTTGAACAAGGCGCTGCCTGTCAACGTTAGCTTACAAACAGGGATTAAGAGCGATAGTTTGGTCCTGGTCATCATCACCACAATTGCAATTCATTGAAAACGGCTGGTTACCATCACAAGAAATTATTGCTTATAAACTACTGTCAGAGGAGATTATATGGGGGCATTATTGAGCTATTTGTATTATATATAAAACGCCACTTCAATTCGCGGACTGGTGATAAGTATCAATACTAACCGAGGGCAATGGAGACCCACATTGATCAGAACTAACAAATCACAAACTAATGTAATTAAAAATAAAACGTTGAATCTGTAGAGAATTTTCATTTGGCTTGCAACCTTCATCGCTCAAACTCACAGTAAGGCACGTAGCACAAGAAAGACGCTAGCAGGACACACGGTAATTGCGACAAAGAGGAGGCTTTTTTCTGCTTAAGTAAAGCAGAGAAAAGCATTCGCTGCGCCGTTGGCCAGGCCGCATCAGTGACTGCGGTGACGACGACGCTGGCCGCGACGAGCGTCGTCTCGTACAGAGGCAACACGTCCGCCGCAGCGCCGTCACGACGCTCCAGACGCACCGCCAGCGACGAGTGGAGCACACCGCTGCCTGCGAGCGAGCAACACGGCGTTAGAATACTAACGGGGGTTGAGAGTTGAATACGGCGCTGCATGTCAACGTTAGGTTTCAAATTGGGGTAGAGGGTTGAACATGGCGCCAGCATTCGCTTACTAACAGGGATTGAGAGCGATAGTTTGGTCCTGGTCATCATCACCACAATTGCAATTGCAGCAATTCATTGAAAACGCCTGGTTACCATCACAAGAAATTATTGCTGATAAACTACTGGCAGAGACTGGAAATTATACGAGGAATTATTGAACTATTTATTTTATCAAAAAGGCCAGTTCTATTCGCTAACTGGAGATAAGTATCAGTACTAATCGAGGGCAAAATAGACACACAGATTGATCCGAACTTGAAAGAACGAGATAATCGCGAACAAACAATTGTAATTAAAAATACAACGTTGAATCTGTAAAGAATTGTCATTTGGTTTGCAACCTTCATCGCTCAAACTCACAATAAGGCACGTAGCACAAGAAAGACGCTAGCAGGACACACGGTAATTGCGACAAAGATGAGGCTTTGTGTTGTTGAGTAACGGCATCAGGGAGCCCCAGAGCGACGTAACAAAGCAGCAGCAGGGGAGCAGAGCAGCAGGCACCCCAGGTGAACTTCATTGCAGTCGCGTCTCCTTCGTCATCAACAGCCGTGCGTTCAGGGCTCATGTAGCGAGCTTCTAGATCTTTAGCAGTCGTTATCCACGAGGCAATGGCGTCTAATAAAACCTAGAAATAACAAAATAGGTCCTTCATACGAAGTAATGGTGTCTAATAAAACCTAGAAATAACAAAATAGGTCCTTCATACGAAGTAATGGTGTCTAATAATATATAACTGGAAATAATACACAAGTACTTTACACAAGGTAATATCATCTAATAGAACTTGAACACCACAATTGAATCTTTCACACCGCGGGGCAGGCGCAAATCTTATTTTAAGTTCACGAACATAATTTCATGGCAAATTATTGACAACAGTATAATTTGTTCAAAAGTTTGAAATAATATTTTAATTATTCTATTATTCCTGACTTCAATATAAATGGAATGCCTGTGTGGCACAATGAACCGTACTACATTGGTTGGAACGTTATTCTTTTGGCCCAGTTATCCTTATGGGAAGCACTTAACAACACTAGTTATGCTCCATGAAGTACTGGAGCACACTATTTATCCACACCACAAGTAATAAAATATATTTAAAACGCACACATGAACAAAATAACAATGAAAATGAACACATAGTAAACGACTCTTATGCTAAAGACAACAATCATCATGACGAGGAATAAATTGCTCTAATAATTCATGGAAGTGAATAGTTATAAACAAATAGAAGGATTATACTCTGGAGTGCAACGGATTGATGAAGGAACGCACACCGCCAATAATATTCATGGAAGTTAATAGTTATAAGCAAATATAAGAATTACACTCTGGATTGCAACTGCTTGATGAAGGAACGCACACCGCCAAACGAGGTATGTGGAGTGAGGGTAGTCAGCAGCAGCTGCAGTGCCAGCACCATCGGCTCTGAGAGACCCTCGCCCAACACGGCCTGGCCTTCCTGTTGTGGGGCTGGAGCCTCCAGCAGCGTAACACACACGCTGCACCTGCAACAGTACACACTGAGTTTAATGATATTTATTTAGTATAACTGAAGTATATTTTACTCAGCTATCAGCTATCAATTTCACATAAATGAATGAAAAAAAAATATGCTCCCAATACAGAAACTTTATTTGCTTGCAAAATTCAGCTGAACTAAAAAGAAAAAAGTTAACTTCCTTCTTGATTCATCATAAAAGGTTCCTTTTTGAAAAAAAAAATACATTTTTGCATTGCAGAAAATTAGGTCACAGGCAATTAATTTCACCGTGCAAGAATGAGGCAGAAATGGAGCAGCGAGGACACCACAGCAACACCACAATGTTCAAGAAATGTGTCAGCCACTGATGATGTCACCTTAGCACACATGGTGCACATTCGCACCACGCGCCGCACCACAGTCTGCTGTGATGCTCTCTCTTCTGCCTGTAAGTGCAAGTGATGATGGGGTAGCAGGGAATAAAGCAGCTCCAGGCCCTCCTGGAGTTCCATGCTGAGTTTCTCAACAACAAACTTTACATCGAGCCCATCATTGAGGAATGCCAGAGCATCCTCGCTCCTCTTGAGTGATGAGCAAGTTGAAGCAATATTTTTCCAGCCATTTACAACACCCTTCATGTGTGACAGAGATGACAGCAAGCGGCACATAGATGATACTTCCATCAGCACTGCCAGTAGGTAGTAAAAGTTAAGAGTACATGTTATGTTGTTCAGACATGGAAATTGGAATGGAACCTCAAAACAAGACAAGGAGCCTAATTAAACAATGATGCAAAATTAAAAGGTTAAAGACAGGAAACTTTCAAAATTGAAAATTATCATTTTAATGGTTTGAAAATTGGAACTAATCTTTTAACAAGTATTTGAACATAGACACAAGAGAAAATTTAAATTTTTGATGCTAGTAGTAGAAAGTATTACCAATACCATAGTTTATTCATTTATAATTGTGTCATAAAACCATTCATGGAATGTAAGCACAAAAAGTAGTAGTTTATGAATATCATGATATCCAATCACTATGGTCAAAATAATTGGTAAAATTGATAGTTCAAAAATAAAATAAAGCTATCCAACTTTCATAATACTGCAAAACTTTAACACATAGTGATTTTTCTGTGATTCAACTTTACACACTTACTTGATGCAGTAATGTTGCAAGCAGCAAGATTACAAATGCTGCTCAAACTGTTGAGCAGAACTGATGCAGCTTCAAGAGAAGCTGCCAGCAGCTCATTGTATGCCTCTTTGACCAGCATATCTCTGTCCTCATACCATGCACCACTGCACATGGAAGCATTACATAAATGAACAAACTTCCTTCAGGCATTTTGACCTAGTAACAAGTGGCCTCTCACTAGTGGTAAAGTTACAGAAAAGGTTTACTTATTAGAGTTTTTAGACAGACAAAATAGCTGATTTATAAAGTTGAAAGTTATAATTTTTCTAATAGTAGATTTTTTAAAATTCTATAGTTGATTACACAGAAAAAAATAGTTGATTGCTAAAGCTGAATAGTTAGTTGATTTATTTTTTGATGAAATAGTTGATTTTTTTCAACCTTTTACCTACAGTTGATTAGATAGAAGAAACCTTTTAATGATTCAGTTAGAAAGTTTTCAGTTGTCAAGAATGCTTTTAATAATACATAATAGCCTGAGTTTATGAGTATAGAAAAAATACAAGGCAAAGCAGTTTTGGTGCTGAAGAATTAAATAATTTTTACATTCCAATAGATAGGTACTTGCAATAGTTCAATGTGGAACATTAATCAAAAGATTTTTGTAAACTTATACAATAGCTGGCATCATCATCCCACACACCATGGTTTTTCTTGTGCAAAGATTGTACACGATTTTCAAAATAGAGATAATTTGACTGATATGAAAGGTTAATATAGGTATCCAACAATGGGTTATGCTCCTCACTTGGTCTGGCAATGCTCCAGTGGAACATGGACAAGTTGCAGCAACAAAGTTGGGGCAAATGAAGGAAGACAAAGATGGGGAGTTGCATTGCTCAATCCTTCAGTGAATGTCAACAATCGTTGACAGTTTTGTACCACTGCAAGACAGCCCTTGAACATATTTTTGTGCATTACAAACCAGTTTCTGTACTCAACAGATTTCAATTAAAAATGAACATATAATACACAAAATTTGTATTTAAATTTCCATTCGAAATTAGAAAATGCCGCAATGTTACATTCACACACATATAACATGCATAATGCTTTAAGGTATATATTTTAATATTCTTTATTGAACAGTGCAATAAAAAATTCATGCCTACACTTCAGCACCAAGATCACTATGTTAATATATGTGCACAGTATATAAAATTCATTGGAACTCAATGTTTTAAATTTAGTATGTACCATTATCACTTTACATCAGGTGGAATTGATACAAATTAAACAAATATAATTATCAACAGTAAAAATTAATTAGGAAGTATTACCAACAAAAGAGAATAAAAAGCTTCATCTAAAACTTCTTCTGTTTGCACAAGCAACTCCAGTTCAGCCATGTTGGCACTTAGAGTGGACTGGAGTAGGGGTAGAACAGCTTCTAAGAAATCAAACTCAGTTGTGGCACATGAGAGCTTGGGCAGAACCACATCCATCATGAAGAGGACAGCACGGACAGTTTTATCTCTTTTTTTAGCATCGGCAGTGCTTGAATCCCAGTAGGTTTCAATGAGTTGCTGAAATTTTCTATTAAGGATTGTATTCCGCATGAATCAATAACAATAAATAATAAAGGAACTTGAAGGAAATAAGAAGGCTTGATAAATAATTGTTCATTTGCTTCAGATACATTCAGGCACAAAGGATACAATGAAGTCTCTTGCTGCTCCATCAGGCAAGAGGTCTACTTGACTCCTTGAAGCTTCTTGTAATTTATCAATAAACTTGGTAATGGCCTCATCATGTTCTTGGGTAAGAATATCATCAGAGTTGCTGCTGTTAGTTGATGAAAGTTCCATTTCTTTTTAATAATTAATGATACATTAACCAAAAAATTACTTGATAAACTATCTAACATAAGCACTGTACAAATTTATATCTGAAAAATATATAATTATAATTATTAAATATTTCTTGCCTAAATTTTAGTTTGCCAGCAATGACTAGCTGACTAGCCAGCATCTCTATACATGCTGCTAATGCATTTTTAGCACATTTTCTCATTTATGGACAAAAAGCGCTATTGTGCTAGTCATGGCTGTCCATCTGTCCGTGACTTCACATTTTCGTCAATGAGAAAATGCGCGCTGTCACAGTGTCACTCACTGCCCGCTGCAATGAGTACCGAGTTATATGCAGTTTTGTACCGAGTTATGTTTTTTTAATATATTGGCTATGTTGCATGATGGGAATTGGGATTTTGTTCGAAATGAATAACTTCTTCCCAATTTTTTTAATTCATATGGTCTGACTGTCTGACTGCTGACAAGCATATAATATGAAATATTTTTTTCAACAAATTAATTGTTATATTGTCAATGTCAGCTGACTTTCAAATGTAATTTATTTTGACCAAACCAATTGAGCAATAATATTCTTGGTCCAAATATTAATTTTGTCATGCTTTAATGAATGGGCAAATGTTTGCCCAGAACAAAATGTATATACATGATCCAAGGACCAATTTAGCAGGCCTCATATAGTTAGGTTACTTAGCGTTACTAAGTTGTACCTAACTTAGGTACAACTACAAGATAATCATAATACTAGTTTTTAAAACTAATGTAAATTCATTCACAGAAAATACTTTGATTGAAAAACTACGCGCTCTGAAATCTCAAGACTCAAATACTTTGAAATACCTACATATTTTGGTGTATTGCTTCCTTAACATTCCATGGTACCATGGTAGATTTATGAATATAATATATTAAATAAATCAACTTGAGATAGAAGTTTGACTTTTTGGTACACTTACATAGAAATTCAATCAATCTGTTAGCAATCAGATTCAACTTCCAACTGAGTTCCAAGTGAGAAGTGACAGTCACTGACAGGCTGACAGCCAACAGGTGCAAGCATAATGACAAATTTATTTTGATTTCTGTGTACATTTATCAATCTAAAATAATGGTTAATGTTAGCCATTGTTAGGTAGAGTTTTATTACATATTTTATTTGAAAATCCAATTATCCAAAATATATTTATTGTTATCAATGTGAATATCAATTAAATTTAAAGTCCTCATAGGACCTAGGCTCCTACTCCTAGTCATAGACCTCAGTGACTGAGGTGAGGAGTGAGGTCACCTCACTCCTCTCCTCAGACAGTCAGACTCAGAGAAGGTAAAAATAACAAACATTTTGTAAAATTGCATTAGCATTAAGTTCTTAGGCCTTGGTAGTTGGTACTACAAAATTTAAACTTATTTTTTATGCACTAAACTTAGCTTTTAGAATTATAATATATCTTCTATTTTAGGTTATTTAGGAATAATGGTATATTACTGAGATTTTGAAGTGAAACTTTATTGAATTTTTGGTGTCTCATCACTCTCATGTAATTCATTTAGCCTACAACAGAAATAAATGTTCTGTTAGCTAATTTACATGCTAGCCTATAAACAAAAAGGGTGTGAATTGAATGAACCAATAAGAACCAACATTGCAACTTGATCAAGCAATTTCCAATTTTCCAGTTGATCGTGAATAATTCGTGATTCGTGACTAGCTAGGTACTGTATAGTGTATAACTGTACTACTACTAGTACTAGTAGCAGTAACCACTAAGTAGGTACCTTGTACGTTTAACCTTATCATATCGGGCTTATGCCTAACTCAGTCTTGGTACATGGTACCTAGTCTGTTTTTCGTGACTTGATTCACAAGGGATCCGGCCTTTGGAACCCGATCTTTCCATAACTGACGATTGATTGAGATAGCTGCTGGACTTATTGCCTGCTCCATAATTTGCTAGGCATTTTAAGACTGAGCATATGCTCTCCTAATCAAGAGTGACGTCACTGTGGGCATCCAAGAATTTTTGGTAAATAGTGTATGTCAACACATTGTTTGTTTGTCCTATTTCTTTGAAAGCATTGCAAAATGACATCATCAAAATGGCACAATAAAATTTATTTACTGCATGCAACTTGGCTTTTTTTAAACAAAACTGGTATTAAAAATCAGTTGACGTCACGAGGTGACGTCACATCAGCCAAGGTGACGTCACAGTTGGAATAAAAAGTGGCATCCGCAAGGCGCAGCTGCACTAGGGAAAATATTGTATTAGTTCAACCATGAAAAAATTGACCTCATTAAAATGGCCCATAAAATTTATTTACTGCAACTAGTATTATTTTAAGCAAAACAGGTGTTACAAATCAATTTGAATCACACTGTGACATCTCAAGGTGACGTCACAACGACCAAGGTATATCACGGGTGGAATAACAAATGACATCCGCAAGGCGCAGCTGCGCGTGGGTCCAACTTGTATTAGTTCAACCATGAGCTGAAACTCCTCGTGAAATTATAGCAGATTTTTTGTCGCTTTGAAGTTTATACGTTTTCAGGTAAGGAGAAGTTTCGAGTTGAATTTAAAAAGTTCTGAATACTAATTCTATTTTAGAAACGGCTAAACTGATTCTAGTGAAATTATGATAGACTTTTTACCTCGTTTAAATTAATAGATTTTTAAGTTCGGGAGAGCTTTCGAGTTTAATTTAAGAAGTGAATATATGACAGAATTTCTATCGCCTAAAAGTAAATTTCTGGGTTTGGCGGAATTTTTAACTTGAATTTAAAAAGGTAAAAATACTAACTCGTTTTTAGAAACGGCTGAACTGATGCTCGCAAAATTATTATAGATTTCTTATTGCTTTGAAATGAATAAATTTCTAGGTTTGGGAGATCCTTCGAGCTGAATATAAACATTTATGAATAATAATTCTATTTTAGATCCGGCTGATCTGATACTCGTGAAATTATAATGGTCTTTTTATCGCTTCAAAGTGAATAAATTTCTAGGGTTGGGAAAACTTCAGAGTTGAATTTAAAAAGTGATAAGTACTAATTCTATAGTAGAAACGGCTGAAATAATACTCGTGAAATTAAAACAGTCTTTTTCCGCTTTAAAGCGAATAAATTCCTAGGTTTGGGAGAACTTTCGTGTTGAATTAAATAATTTATGAATACTAATTTTGATATAGAAACGGCTGAACTGATACTAGTGAAATTATAAAAGACTTTTTGCAGCTTTAGAGTGAAAAAATTTCTGGGTTTGGGAGAACCTACGATTTGAATTTAAAAAGTTATGAATACTAATTCTATTTTAGAAACGGCTGAACTGATACCCAAAAAATCACGAGACCTTTTGGAGGCTTTAAAGTGAAAAAATTTCCAGGTTTGGGAAACCTTTCGAGTTGAATTTGAAAAGTTATGAATACTAATTCTATTTAGAAACGGCTCATGAATTTATAACAGACTTTTTACCATTTTGAATTGAATAAATTTCTGGGCTTGGGAGAGCTTTCGATTTAAATTTAAAAGATTATGTAAACTAATTCTATTTTAGAAACGGCTGAACTTCCACGCTTGAAATTATAGCAGACTTTTTATCGCCTTAAATTGAATAAATTTCTGGATTTGGGAGAACTTTCAATTTGAATTTAAAAAGTTACGAATGCTTATTCAATTTCAGAAACGGCTAAACTGATAGTCGTGAATTTATAGCAAACTTTTTATCTCATTAAAGTGAATAAATTTCTATGTTTGGGAGGATTTTCATAGTTGAATTTAAAAAGTTACGAATACTTTTTCTATTTCAGAAACGGTTGAACTGATACTCTGTAAATTTTAACAGGCTTCTTACCGCTTTAAAGTAAAAAAATTCCTACTTTTGGGAAAACCTTTGAGTTGAATTTAAAAATTTATCAATACTAATTCTGTTTCAGAAACCGCTGAATTGACACTCCTCCCAGTTGTTGCATTTCGTTCAAATTGTTGTGATTTTATGAAAAATATTGAATGAATTGATTTCATATAGTAATTCGACCACATTCAAAATTTTCCAAACAATGCTACAATGTTAAAATGTGCCCGAAGGGGACAAGGAAATGGAAATATTAGTTGATCGAAAAATAATTGTTGAGATGATGGACAATCAGCTTGGAGTAACCAAATTAATTCGTCCAAGTATGCGGGTGGTTTACTGTCATTATTTTAAATAGGCAACTTGACTGGTTCAAAGCTGTCGTCAACATCGAAACCTTGGCCAAAAGGAATCTTGCTGATAATGGCAAATAAAAATATTCAAATTTGTTTACTAAATTAGAGAAAGAAAGTTTTTCTTGCGCTGATAGCTTAGGAAACAATCGTAATCGTTAATCGAATATATGAAATATGGAATATAAACGAATTTCGCACGAATGATAGTGACGCTTGAAATTATAACAGACTTTTTATCACCTCAAATTGAATAATTTTCTGGGTTTGGAAGAACCTTCAATTTGAATTTAAAAATTTATGAATGCTTGTTCTATTTCAGAAACGGCTAAACTGATAGTCGTGAATTTATAACAAACTTTTTATCTCATTAAAGTGAATAAATTACTATGTTTGGGGGGATTTTCATAGTTGAATTTAAAAAGTTACGAATACTTATTCTATTTCAGAAACGGTTGAACTGATACACGACATTCCAACGATGTAGTCAATGTCGAGATAAATATAGGGCCTCTCGAGACAAATAATGAATCACAATTTCGAGTGTGTTTGGAGTAAATAGCTTTTTTGTACCCTATACTCATAGCGTTTGTTCGGGGGATGATTGATACGAAGAGAAACTCTAGCTTTATTAAAGTTCCAAAACTGACGGCACAATTTCGAGTGTGTTTGGGGTAAATAATTTTTTGGCAGCCCCAAACTCATAGCGTTTGTTCGAGATGATTTATACTCAGAGAAACTCTAGCTTCATTGAAGTTCCAATACTGACGGCACAATTTCGAGTATGTTTGGAGTAAATAACTTTTTGACAGCCCAAACTCATATAGCGTTTGTTCGGGATGATTTATGTTCGGAGAACCTCTAGCTTTATTAAA